TATTCCAAGTCCAAGCAGAATTTAGTGAATCTATCCATGGTCAAGAGTCAGAGCCTATCAGAAACAAGCCAGTGGAAAGAAAAAAATCTATGTTTCGCTTACATTAACACCAAGGAGACGGCCCCTGGCCTGGGAGATAGGATTCTCCCTTTCAAGGTTCAATAGAACCGCAACCTCAGGACCGATCTGGTAGGGCGCCATCCCTCCCGATCGCTGTAGAGGGAAAACTTCTCTCACAGATTAAATCGCCAGTGATGGGGGAGCCAATCCCAACACCGACTGCTTTGCTAATTAACAGTGAAAAACTAAGTTAAATTTCCCACGATCGGGGCACCACTTCCCTTCTCGCAGTACTCACTTTCCAGGACAGTATGCTTAAACCAGAGTTTAATATGCTTAAACGTCCCTCCACACCGACCGAGGAGGAATTCATATCCTCTCAGACGGTCACACCATCCACCATGTAACGTCCCCACAGCTTCGGTCACCGACAAGACAGTACCATATGATCCCTGTCAAGCCTGAAAAACCACCGAATGAACGATGGCTCTAGTCTTTAACGTGAAAACTGTTTATTTTCTCTGCAGTCCAGAGCTGTTTAGACACAAGTCTAGCCAGTGATCTGAAGGAACCCCGGGTCTCCTCCCATAAATGGTCGGTTCCGGCAATCCCATCCAGCCGAACCACAGAGAACGTTGTCCAGCATCCGTTAGCCTATGCCAGCCAGCCTATATCTAGCCTAGAGCTGTCCGAAGACAGCCAGCCTATATCTAGACTCATGCCGGCATAGTTTCCAGCGGGCGCCACGAGGAGGCCGATGCTGAACTGAGGGAGACAAGACTAGGTCTCCATCCCTCGACACCTACCCTTCGATCGAACGCTGGGTCTCCTGCATTCCGCCACTGTTCACGACGGTCTCCCGCACACGGTTCTCGCCGCTCTCAGTGGTTTCCAGCCGGTTCCAGACATCCGTCCTCTGGGACAGGTGTCGGCAGTTCTCCTAAGAACAGACACCAGGTCTCCTACCGCCAGCGGCCGGTTCTGTATACCTGTCGTCAGGTCCGAACGCCACCCGCCACGTTTCGCTTACATGAACTCCACTGAGAATGACCACTGCCCTGCCTCTATATTAGAGACTCTACAGTGTACTGTCATTCCAGCAGTAACCATCTACCATCGTCGTTTCGCCCAGCCCAGGGTTGGGCCCGACAGGTCAGACGGCTCAGAAGACCATTTATTGAAATTCCAAAGTTTGTACATGGGCATACAGGGCCACTTTCCAAGTTCATTGGAAATTTACATTATCTAGTTTTTACATGGGCATACAAGGCCATAATATATGTTTTTACATTGCATCAAGAGATTTACATGGGCATACAGGGCCAGATGTTATTATACATGATTCCGTTAAGAAAAATATATATATAATAATATATATATTCCTGGTTAACTAGAGCATAAGGTTATTGACACTTGAAAATCAATGAGGTATAAGTGTAATCACATAATTGACAATTTAGGTTATATATAACGTGGTAACACTGAAATATAAATATATACATATATGTACAAATCTTAGGTAATTGCAATAATAATTGAACTTTTAAAAATTTAAAAGAAGTATAATCAATATAATTAATTGGGAAATCTAGGGTAAATAATACATAGAAACTGATATATAATAATAATCATAGAGACTAATGTAAGGTAATTGATATTTAGATACATTGAAACATTTAATATACATTGTGAGATATTTATCTATATATTGGAGGATGATTATATGCATTGAAATATTTATATAAACATTGGAAGATATTTATATATACATTTTGTTGAGGTGCACCACTTAGGTTTGTTATTAACTTGATTATTAGTACACAGCTCTACATAGATGTTAAGTTCACAGTTCACAGTTCTAGTTTACAGTTCTTACTGCAATGTTCTTACTAATATTACTTCACTGTAAAACGGAAATTCCCTAATACACGAGTTATCACCCTACTTTTCCCAGACCTTGTACTGGGTGGTCCTTTAACTATCATTTTGTTACATGTACGTTTCTGCACAGTAAGATATTATTTTAATTAGATTTTTGAGCACCGGGCCTTTGTGGAGTGTGTGATTTGCCCAGTATTCTTTATGTACTGCTGGTGGACGTCTTAGGTGCCAGTTGCTGGTGTATTGGCAGTCAAACACGAAGTGCTCCACATCTCCCCTGCTGCCGCAAGCACATTGATCTTGTGAGGCCAGGCCAAATCTCTTGAGATAAGTGGGAAAAGGGCCGTGACCTGTGAGAAAGTGAGTTAGGGCACTGTGTCGGCTGTGTAGAGTCGTATTCACTTTGGGTAAATAAGTATATGTGTATCTACCCACTTGAGCTGTGGACCATCTGCTCTGCCATATGTTCATGAGAACTGCAAATGTTTCTCTTTTGAGATCCGAAATGGGGCGACTGTGCGATAACTCAGGAGCTTGACTATTATTAGCAATTTCCTTTGCTAAGGCATCAGCTAGCTCATTTCCTATAATTCCCACATGTGCTGGGACCCAGTTTAACTGTGGTCTATATGATGTTGGGAAGCTAAGTAGTTTTAGACGGATGCCATGTACCAACGGGCTGGTGCTATGAATGCCTATTATGGCCTCAAGGCTTGAAGCCGAGTCACTATAAATATGTACTCTATCCGGAGCGTAGCTCCTGGCCACTTCGACTGCTGTGTCGATTGCCAAGAGTTCAGCTTGATATACAGAGTTGTGATGGCTAAGGCGTTGTTGCCACTGAAATTGAATGGTGTCATCTTTTAGGAGGCATAAGGCACTGCCTGTTCCAAGTTCTGTCTTTGATCCATCTGTGAAGATTGTGGTCATGTCGTGTCCTGGAGCTGTGTAATGTATTCGGACTGTATCTTCCAGATTTAGTTTAGATGGGTGGATCAGGGAAAGGTTTTTCTGTTCGTAATCTGTAAATTTGTAGCTTCTGTTCCATAGGGTAACATCAGCTTGTAACCGAGAGATTTTAGTTATTGCTGCCTCTCTCTCCGCTTGCAAATCCAGTGGAGGAATGCCAGAGAGAACCTGCAGTGCCATAGTTGATGTTGTTCTATAGGCTTTGCATATAAGTAGAAGTTGGAGCCTCTGTATGCTGTTCAGCAGGTTCCTCATTTGTTTTGTCATATTGTCTCCCCAGACTCCTACTCCATAAAGAACAATCCTTTCGGATATTGTCCGGTACCATCTTGAGAGGATTTCCGGTTTTGTTCCCCAATTAATTCCTGTAGTTCTGAGCATTGAATTTGTTAGCTGTGAAATTTTTGTTTTGATATTCTTTAGATGCGGGAGCCAGGAGAGTCTTTTATTGAAAATAAAGCCAAGATAGTTTAGGTTATTAACTGATTGTAGTGTGTGTCCGTTTAGTCGTACCGTTGGTTGTCTTCTTAGTGGACCTTTTCTTCCGATTAACATTACTTTCGTTTTAGAGGTTGATATTTGGAGTTTATGTGCTGTTGCCCAGTTGTAGAAAGTGGTTAGTGCTTCTTCGGTACGCTTTTGGACGTCACTCCTACCTGCTACTAGTATCAGAAAATCATCTGCAAAGGCCTGTATCCTTATCTCATCCTGTTGGTTATAAAGGGAGAGGGCTGTGTCCGCTACGATATTCCAAAGGGTTGGCCCCAGGCACGAGCCTTGCGGGCAACCCTTTTCCAGATTGTGCCTTGCGATGCCGTCGTCTAGTGTGACTTGTATATGTCTGTTGTCTAGGTAACTTCGCAAAATTTGAATGATTTCTATTGGAGCCTGCATTTTCAATAGACAGTTGAAGATATCCGGCCACCATAGTGCATCAAATGCTCCTTTGATATCAATAGAGATTACCATTGTGTGAAGATCATTTGTTCTGTTTTCCTGTATTGTTTTTAGCATATTTTTAACTGCACGTTTCGCTTACAATAAAATCCAAAGATATCACAAGCAGCAGTACCGGAAATGTTGAAGCAGTAAACAAACACAACGGCGATCTTCTCAATGAAAAGTGGCAGTCAGCATTGGAGCAGACATCCAATGACGCTTGGAGAAACAGCAACCGCAGAACGTTCCGCCAATTAGGAAAAAGCAGCACGCAAACGATCTTGAATCGAGAGCATTGGGAACACCGGGCAAGTCCTTTACTATCCACTTTCCCTTTCCAAAACTCTGTATCTCTACTGTTATAGTCCCATTTCCTACACTTGTACAACAACAACAAAAAGAAAAGAAAGAAAAACTGGTCCGGAAATTAGATCATTCCGGATTTCGGACTTCATACTGTGATATGTATAGGGACGACAGATTGTAGACAGCCAGCTACACGGAACGATACCAAGTGAGGCGTACACTCAGCCATTACTTTGCAAGGCCGTACCGGAGGTTAGCTGAAACAGGTTCCTTTGAAAGAGCTGCCATGAATCGGGTACGATCAGCACCAACTCCGGACATCGAAGAAAAACATACTTGCCAACCTACGGCATTTAAAAATCAGAAGATTTTTTTAAGACATCAGGAGAATTTTCTCAACGACAAAAAGATTTTTTAAATAATGAAAATATGTAGAAAGAAAAAATATTTTTAATAATGAATTACCTTTAACTAGTAAGTAATTATTATCTTAAAATTCATTTGTGATTTCTTAAATGCAAATAAAACTAAAATACATGTAAAAAAAAAAAAAAGTTTTGTCACTTGTACATAATTGGAAAATGTGTCTCTTGTCAAGCAATTTTTCTTATTTTGGGATAATTTTGTTTTGGGAGAGCTTCAATGACAGATTGTGCTCCAGTAAAATGGCAGAGAACAGATATTCTGCATTAATAACTTTTTTGTCCTTTCTTTCCACAAAAAAATTTAATTCCCCCGTTCTCGCGTTGTCTTTGTGTAGATACATGTATAAGAACATTGGCACTTCAACCGTGCGAAATTGAAAATCGCAATAACAAAGTGTGCACATTGTAATATTACATTTTCTTGACGAAATAATAGAAGAAAAGTCATATGTGTACGATTTTTGAAAATTACACGAGTTTTTATATTTTTCGCAGGCATAAATAAGACAAAAAAAAAAGATCACAATTTCTTAAACTGTTTCTGAAAAAGTACACGAGACTTACGCTGACGAGACGTACGAAATAAAACTTCGATCTTGCTTTCTCTCCACTGGCTAATATATGCCTGATGACTCGCACCGCTTGATTCTCATTGCAGAAGTGCAACATGACGTTTTCCGACTTGTGCACACAAAGCAGAAACCTGCCATATCTCGCTGTTGAAACGACTTGAGTTTTCTTTTATATGTATCTACAGAAGGAAAAAAAAGCTTAATAAAGAGAATAATAATAAAAAAAAAGTAAGAGGAAATTAGTTGCAAATCGGGATGCCGGGAGTATGGTTGGAAATTGGAAGTCTCGGCAACTCTGGAATGTGCTTAAAATTCAGTACACGAATTATAGCGCACGCAGCCAGCGTTTCTTGTTCTAGCACCCGGAGGATTGTCATGCATCCGTATAGCGTGCAGCGTACTCGTATTCAGACACTTTAACCAGGCGATTACGCATCTCATATTGCTTTTGCGTAATGGTATCTTGAAAAGTATGCTATAGATCACCGTTTCCCTGCTAATGTGTTGTTCTCCGATAAGATACAGTCGAATCCGGTTAACTGGGCTACCAGATAGTCGGACCAGCCGCTTTTTCAAACCAAATCCTAAAGAACCGAAACAAAACCTATGTACATAAGCCTAATAGTATTCGGTTATTTGGATCAACATTCCGTTTAATCGGACCAAAACGTGAGAGCGAATAAGAAACAGAAGCCACAAGTCAGCCGCGTACAGCGGATGTACAGGTGGTCTGCAACATATGGGAGGATCTGTAGTTGCGGCTGCCCAGGAAAATGCTTTATCAAAGGTCAGGAATTCCTTAAAGTGCATGACAAAAGCAAAACCGGTGGGAGGTGAACACGCGCACTACTTTCTCTGACCTGCGCCTCCGAATTTCGAGGAAATGAACAATCGAGTCTCCGGCTATACCTGAAAGGAATTCCCGCCTGTCTATCATGATTAAAGTTTACACCAGAAAGTTATCATTCCATCACCTATCTGGGATGATTTAGTGCCAAAGCTTTGAATGGCGAGCATTTTATCTCCCTCTTGACCTCAACATCTTAAACCCGAAACACCAAGGTTTCTTCAGACCACAGTGAACTGTGCGCGTGTCTTGTGTCCCCTGCCAGAATGCCACGACGGGAGTTAATATTAACTGAAAAAATTGGTTTCCTGGATAAGATCAAGCAACAACGACAAAACACGAGTCAGCGCCGGTTGGTGGAAATAACCGGATTGACAAAGACTACAATTTCGCGCTTGATAAAACAAGAGAATAAGCTGCGAGAAGAATGGGCACAAACTTCCAAAAAACGAAAGCGTGAAAGCAAAGACCCAGATGTCGATTAGGCCAATGAATGGTTTGCAGTTGTTACTGGACGATCTGTGCAAGTAAGCTGCCCAATGTTAAAATGCAAAGCAGAGCTCGCTAAAATGCTGAGCCACGATGACTTTAAAGCTACGGACGGTTAGTTGATTCGATGGAAATCTAAGCATGACATAAAGTTCAAGAACGCACATGGCGAGAAAGAAAGTGCTGATAGTGCAAATGCTGAAGAATGGAAATCCAACAGAACTGGTCGAGCTTCTTGAAAAATTTTCAGCAGATGACATCTGCAATGCTGATGAGACTGGGCTGTACTATCGTGCTACACCGCACGGCTCGTAAAGTTACAAACATATCGCACTCTCTTGCTTCAAAAAGCGATGGATCGCGTAAATGTCTTGTGCTGCTCAAACATGTCAGGAACGGACAAGGGGAAGCTGTTGGTTATAGCAAAAAGCACTAAGCCTCGCTGCTTTAAAGGACTTAGGATGGAGAGTTTACCAGTTGTGTATCGTGCGAATAGAAATGCGTGGATGACCTCTGAACTTTTTAAAGAATGGCTGAAGGATTGGGACAGAGAGCTACAAGCGCCAGTCGAGAAAAGTGCTGCTTCTTCTTGGCAATTGTGCAGCACATCCTCATTTAGATTGCTTGATGAACGTCCAACCTGGAATTTCTACCTCCCAGGACCACAACTTTGGTCCAGCCAATGGACATGGGCATCATAAAAAATTTGAAGACCCTTTATCGTGCAAGGTTGGTTAATTACATCCTTGAAGCAATTGAAGAAAGTTTGCTGACCATGGTCAAAAGCCAGCAGTCGTCAAAAGTCATGTACGATGCAGTTAAGCTGTCGGCCGCAAATGTAACTGCATCTTACAAGCAGTTACATTTGTGGCCAACAGGTGGCGAAAAGTCAATTCAGAACTTTTTTTCTCACTGTGGCACTTGGTTTTGGAGATGGATGTGGACATGCTCATTGAAAGTGAAAATGATGACTTACATGTGGAACTTCAACAGGTACAAAATTGCGATGAATTTTTATCCATTGACAACGAGCTTCAATGCTACGATGAAAATGCAGATTATGACGCTGCAATCGTTGCAGCAAAATAAACGACAGCATCGGAAGATCAAGAAAGTGATAATGATGATGCCGTTGATAAGTTGCTGCAAGTGACAACACAGGATGCGAGGAAACGCATTGAAACTTTGCGTCGGTATTTCATGCAGGAGGGGAATGAAGGCAGTCCCATTGCTGCGCTAGATGTTTGTGGCGATTTCGTTCATGTGCAATTCGTCAGAGACGAGTGCGTCATATCACATATTGGAGTAAGTTCTTCAAATGTTGACTGGAACTTGGTAAGAAATTGATTTTATTGTGCTTCGCATGTTGAGTATCGTGGAGATTTTTTTTCTTAGAATTTGTTTCTAAATTAATTTTTTCAATGAAAAGAAGTTCGACTGTATTTCTTGTGTGTACGTGTACCGCACCATAAAGCTCATAATTACATTTTAGTACATGATTTACATGTGCATTTACTGTTTGCTACATATAGCACGTCCCGTCTCACCAACATAGAACATGTTCGTGTAATCGCACCCAGCCAGTTATTACGACCAAAACGATCGCTTCCCGATGTGGTCCGATTAACCGGAATCGACTGTATCCTTCACAAAGAAAGAATATTCAGCGCACATAAACCTTCATAAAACACGACGTCGTGAAGCGCAGATTCGGCCAATGTTTGGACCGGTAATGCGGTAGATCATCTCATCGGACCTTATCTGTTGCCTTTACGTCTAACTGGTTGTAACTTTCTGCAGCACGTTATGTCACAACGTTTAGATGACGAACTTATTTCTGCATCGATGCGACAGGCAATATGGTTCCAACACTATGTTGTCCCTGTCCATTTCAGCCATAACTTTCGTACCCACCTTGACGTCTCATTTGACCAACAGTGGATGGGACGTCGTTGTCCGGTGCGGTAACCTGCAACAGAAAAAGTATATTTATTATCAAAAACGAAGAGAAATATTCGACATGTTTCCTTCAGTGCAAAGAAAGTTTCAGTAAAGGGTTTATGGTTGTCGCAGGATTCTCTTACAATGCGAAATTAAAAATAAGAGTGAAAAAAGTGTTAAAATCAACTTTACTATCAAGAGGACGATTTATATCCGATATTTAGAGGGAAAAAAAATTCATTTCTTTTTATCTCAGTGCATTCCAAAGAGATAAAAAGCCACAAGCTTCGAAAAGTACCAGTGCATTCCTTGAAAAAAATGAAGAAATCCCCTGATGTCACATATTGACTGCTGTGCCTAAGTCACCAACTGACTGCTGTGCCTTTAATCTCTTGATGCGCGAACCCAACACAATGGATGGACTGATAGGGACATAACTGATAAGGATTGGCCCCGACCACGGAACTTAGCCTAACGGGGTAAGCCAATCCCACAGCAAAACTATCTACAATCTGCCATCCACAGCCAGAGGAAGGGATGACAGAACAGACGGCATTTATTAGTAGGAAAGCTAAAGAGAAGGACTACCACCCGGCAGCACTTTTAAGCCGCCCAATATACGAGTCTATAGTTCTATCGCCCAACCTTCGGAGACTGTCCGGAGGAGCGCAACTCCCTCCGATCAATTCACGGGGACTTTATAGGTCGCCGTCATCCATCACCGAGCCTTGACCGGGGGCTAACGACCCCCGGACAGCCCTTAATATCTACATGTAACGTCCCTCTCCAACCAAGGTCACAGGCACGACAATACCAGTACTAGCCCCCGTGAGGGTTGACTCAGGCGAACGCCTGGGAAGTACTAGTTAGGATCTGTACCTAGGCGGTCTCAACCACGGGGGGTATACTAACAGACTTCACAGAAGCCCTGAGGGCTCTCGTGACAGAGTAAGGCTCGGCAGGGACCGTACGGGTACTGCCTTGTCTGCCCTTGCTCTGTGGAGTCGCCACATGGTAGATTGATAAGATGCGCGGCGTTGGCACTCAATTCCGTATGGCCATTGAAGCTAGGTCGGGAGCCTCCCTGTCGTATGAGTAGTACCAATACGGTCCCTGCCAAGCTTGAACCTACCACCGAATATACGATGGCTCTAGTCATGAGAAGATTGATTATCTACTCTGCAGGCCGAAACTGTCTAGACATAAGTCTAACCAGTTGTCTGAAGGAACGCCAAGTCTCCTCCCATAAAGGTCGGTTCCGAAAATCCCGCCCAGTCGGACCGCATCGAAATCTGTCCACCATCATTCACCTAGACCGACGCAGCTGGCCTAGTTTCCAGCGGGGACCACGAGGAGGCTGATGCTGAACAAAGGAAGACGAGGCAAGCCTCCATCCGTTAGCAACTAAACCCTCAGCTCAGGGGGTCTCCTGCCGCCAATAGTCGGTACCGAATATTTGTCCTCTAGTCCAACCACGATGGTCCAACTCCCTCCGCCACGGTGGATGGACTGTGGAAAGTAATGAAAGCGGAATGGAAATCAGTACTCCCAAGAAATTTCACAAAACGTCCTTTCATCATGGTAATGAAGATGCAGGCTTATAGTCCAGGGGGACTATCAGATCAAATATTTTAAAAAGTACTCTTTGCACTTTAAACTGCAACTAAATGGTCTCGAAGTCATTCAAAAAATGTGTAAACATTCTCTGTAATTCTTTTACCATTTTTAAATATACATCCGTCTATAATAATGCTATCGAGATATATAAAAGAAATTATATAACAGTCCTTTTAAAACTCTCTGTTAGATGTTCGAATGTCGTTGGAGAGTGGCACGGCCAGAATTAGCATTGCTTTAAACTGCCAGATTCCATGACCAGTAAATGCTGTCTTCTAACGATCTTTGGGATCGTGATGCCCATTTGGCAGTAATCGCTCTTAAGATCCAGATTGTAAAACCATTTGTTTCTCCCATCTAACGATCTAGAAGAAAATTTTCCGATAAACGAGCCTGTCCGTCTCCATTGAAGGCCGAAACATGTTTCATTATAATCGGTGCCTCGGTTAGCTACTCAGGACATTTTAAAGCAAAATGTTTCGCTTCAAGAGTTGTTCGTCGTACGATTTCTCCAAAGAACTGGTTTTCCCAAAAATTAACCACTCGGATATTCCGAAAATAAAAATTCTGCAATATGTTTCTTTCAACCCGCTGTTGAAGGTAGTTTGTAGACGTGATACTTGTTTAAGGTGCTGATTCTGTGCAGAAAATAATTACCTTTTTTGTGATATCATTCAGATCTACGTTAACATTTCATTCAAATTAAAACTGTTCTGGAGAAAGTTGTAGCATTTATTTAATTCCGTTCAGAATGAAAATTTTTAAATGTATTCTTTCACATACTTAGGCCTCTGAAATATTGCAGGAAAAGAAAATATATACATTTATACTTATATTTACGTCGTAGTTACTAAATGTTTACCTCCAATCGTCAAAGCTTGTTGATCTCGATAAGAAGTCACTGAATGTTTTACTCACCAAGAAGGGTGCGTCACTGTTTCAAGGCCAGTTCCGGCCTCTCCTTCGTTTTCTATTTCATGGATTCCACAATGCTTTTGGCCATGCAAAAAAAGTCGCCACCTTGCGCATAAACTGGACAACGATGGCATCCTATACGCTTTCTGAGGAAAAGGAAGTGCTCATCCTCTTTTAACGCGCAGTTTAGGGAACCATTAACAAAGAAACTGGTGGGACGTACAACTGAGGGTTGTCTCGCGGAGAAGTGGAGCGACTTGCACTTTCTGAGGTTGAGTTGGAGACCAATTTTCAAGCAAGTTTCCTGAACCACCGTTCGGTAGTGCTCAAAAGATTTAGGAGACTGGGGGATGAGAAGAATGTCATTGACATATCCAGAAACGCCGGGAGTAGAATCAAGGTAGTGTCGTATACAGCGCAACAAAGGTTTGATTACAAGATTAAAAAGCAGGCCACTCAGCCCTGCCGAACTCCTGCATGGGCCTCATCAACGGGGCTAGAGATACCATCATTTGAGGTGAAA